AGTGTCCTACACTCTAGAGCTAGAACTATGAGCCTGGGAGGCAGATATGAAAAAGACTAACATTAAGAGCCCAAAAATAATACAACAAAAAATAAGTGCCACGAGGGGAAAGCAGAGCAGCTTAAAAGTAAGATGGAAAGTGGCTGTTACATTGAGTGACAAGGACCACAAAAAGCTTGCTCATGGCGATTTCTTCTCCACGTGAGATGCCTGCTTGGCTAGGAGGCAGGCAGTGGTGGTAGAGAGCACTGCCCTAGGTATATTTAGAAGGAGAAAGGATAGAATTTGTTTATGATGTGGGCATGTGTGAAAAACAGCAAAATGTACTGCATTTCCCAAGGCCTTGGCCTAAGGACTGGAAGAACAGGTACCATTTACTGGGATTGGGAAGACCAGGGGGTGTGGCATCAGGAAAAGTCTGAGCAGCAAGGACACCATCATGGTAGTGAGACAGTACCCACCTATACCCCTGTTAAGGGCTTGTTTTCTATATATGTCTGATCATGCAAGGCAGGAGAGGTCAGTGAGTTGGGAAATAAAGCTTCCAGTACAGTGAACATCAGTTAGCTCTGGCTGGCATAAGCAAACAGTCTGGAGGAGACTCTTCTGAGATATTTACACTTGAGAACTTAGTTTTTATGAATTGGAAATGCAGCCAAATAATCCCCACTTGAAAGAGGATTTGCTCCTTCTGCTCAGAGTATGTTGCTAAAGGCTCTAAGAGGTTTAGGAGAGGATCTTTGGAGCCCATTCCTGCTTGGTACTCCCATTTTGGATGCAGAGGGCATTTCCATCTGATTCTATAACTGGTAAGGACATTGCACATGCATATATGCAAATACAGATGAGCGTTTCTAAGTGGGAACTTTGTGAGCATCATTATGATGTTCAAATTTGGGGGTTTGAAGGTTTTCAGTTCTTAGATTTTGAGATTAAAGATGCTCCACCTGCAACATTTATGCACATATTCCAAAGTCCTCAAAATCCGAAAGAGTTCCACTCTCAAGCTATCTTAGTTACTTTTCTCTCATTGCTGAGACAAAATACCCAACACCCAAATTAAAGCGGGAAGGGTTTATTTAGCTCACAGTTTGTAGGAGGTTTCAGTCCATAATCAGCTGGCTCCAAGACAAGGTGGCATGACAGAGGAGAATCCATTCATGGCAAGCAGAAGACAGCAGAAGCAAGCAAGAAAGGGAGAAGGCAGATTTCTTTTTGTCCCTTACATTGTGTCCAGCTAGCAGGATTAGGGCAGTGCAAGCCAGTCAGGGCACTGATTCATTAACTGCCCATCCTTAATCCTAGCATTGCACTGTGAATCAGTCACACACTCTACATCCAGCCACCTCTAAAAAAGCCTCACTTATGACCTCATGAGGCTTTGAGGGGTCACCTAGACACAAGCCATACCATAAGCATTTCATGTAAAGGAGACTGAGTATGCATGTGTGTATGATGTAAGTGTAGTTTTGAAACTGAACATAAGCCTTGTCACACTCTTGGCTGGAATTGTGGGTATAAGGCACACACTATAGTGAATTTTTTTGCATGCTGGGGCCAGGCTGTGAGCCCACGCCATTGGATCCCACTTATTTCAAATCAGAACCACCACTGTCCGAGGTAATGTGGAGTATTGTATTGTCACGTCTTTGTTCATAGGAAGTTAGCCTGGAAACCTAGAAAATGGGTTTGGGGGCCAGAAAACTAGGATGGAGCCCCAATTCAATTAACTAATCGCTATGACATTAAGAAGATTATTTAATATCTCAGAGATGATTTGTAAAATTTATTAAATTAGAAGAGCAGTGCTTGTCTCACTATTGTATTGTGAGCATTAAACAAGATACTTTTTGAAAAGTCTCTGCTTGAGTAAAAGATGGTAGGCACTTAAAAACTTAGCTGTCTTTACGTGACTAAAATTCCCCAGAAAAATGACAGTTTCCTTCAAATAATGATATACACCAGCGTGTAGGCCCCTGTACCTACCCAGCAGTAAAGATAGGCTTCCGTGGAAATTCACTACAGGTATCACTTCCTAAAAACATGTATTTTTTTTAAATGAGTTTAATAAAATCTGTCATTCCAGAAGTGTATCTAGAGAAATGTAGTTTAGGGCAAAGCACTTGCTTAGCATACACAAAGCCCTGAATTAGATCCATGCTACAATGGGAAAAAGTATCTGTATCTAGAACTACATTAGAATTATCAAAGAAGATAAAGGTTAAGTTAAAAAGGCATAATTCACCTAAGTCATATGGAAATCACTACTTTTAGGAATTTTTTTATTTGTTGTTTGCACATGCATGTATATAAAATGCAACAGACTGTTTTAATACATTGTCTACATTGTCTACTCATTAGTACCCACTTATCATGTTCGCTGCTGTTTATTCTTACCTGAATCTTCAAAATTAGACTCCAGATTTTCTCCTAAGGAATATGCTGCAGTATTTTTTGTAGTGCAGATAGTTGATGGTGAATTCTCTTGATTACTGTTTGTCTGAAAATGTCTTTATTTTGCATTTATTCTTGAAGGCTCTTTTTGTTTTGTTGTAGAGTTCTTAACTAGAAGTTCTTTTCCTTTGCACTTTAAGGTATACCATTGTCTTCTGCCTTCTGCTATTTTTGTTGGAACATAAATTCTGAGTGTAATCATCAGTTACTTAGAGATAATGTATGTTTTATTCTTGAGGCTTTTAAGATTTTCGTATTCTCCTTGGTTTATGACATACCTACCTTGTCAGTGCTAATTTTTTTTGATGAGGGTTAAGCTTTCTTGAATCCATGGCCTGTTACATCTCATTCATTGGAAGAAATTCTTAGCATTATTTCATTTTCCACTTCTGCCTCATTGTCTCTTTCTCCTTCTAGAATTCCAGTTATTGTTAGGATTTCTCGTATGTCTCGTTCTCTCCACTGCATTAAACATGTTTTTGACTCTGTGCTTCAATCTATGTAGCATCCAGTTCATTAACTCTCTCCTTATCCATGTTTATTTGGTTGAAAACTCCATTGCATTCTTGATGGCAGTGGATATACTGTATATATTTTTAAATCCTAGAATGTATATAGATGTCTTTAAACCAGACCTAATCCTCTTCCAGAATCCTCATTTGTCTTTCGATCTCCTTAAATATTGTAAACAGAGTCATTTAAAAGTTTATATTTGGTGACTGTTATGTATCAGGAGCCCCAGGGGGCCTTTGAAAACATCCTTGAAAAACCGTATATGCTGTCTTGGCTAGTATTTAATCATGCTATTTGGTCTCTTCATGTCTCCCTACGTTTTAATTGAATGCTAGTCTTTTATTTGCAAAGTGGTCTGTGGAATAATCAAAGCTCTTTATCCGCGTTTAGCAAGTGAAATGATTCAGATCTTAACTTTCTACCGTTGACAGGCCTGTCCTTTAAGATACAGTACTTTGTGGCCACAAAAATACCAAACAGTGGGGTTTATTAGAGCACCCACTCCTGTGTAATATCCTGACTCATTATACTTTTGAGGTGATCAAAAACCCACTTCGTTTTACAGCTGTTCTACCTCAGAATATTAAAAATAGAATCCAGACCCAAGGGTCTGGGCCATTCCCTTGTCTGCTCGGACTCAGTAACTTTTTTCTTCCCAGTGTGGAGAGGAGTTTTTGTTTTACGTCTCTCGATCTCCTCAGCAGGAGGGTTAATCTGAATTACCTAGTGTCCTACATCTAGAAGGACCGTTGAGAACAGAATTTTTAGATCATTTTCTTCTTTCCTTTTGAAATCAAGAGGGAAGAGATGAAATGTCCAGGAGCATTATGCTGTCTTCAGCCTCATGTAGTGGCAACAGGAAGGCTCTGGCCAGGCTGCAGACCCTGACGCACTGCCCTCTTCTTGCCTTTGTTCATATATCCCTCCTTCCAGGAGTCTCTCTTCTGTTTTAGTTTTTGGTTTTTTAGTGTTTGTTTTATTTTGTTTTGTCTTTGAGATGGAGTCTTGTTGTGCAGTCCAGGCTTATCTTGAACTCACTAGGTAGCCCAGGCTAACTTCAAACTTGTGGCCATCCTCCTGCCTCAGCCTCCCAAGCGCTGAGATTAAAGCCATGTGCCACCACGCTCGGCAGCAGTGTCTCTTCTTTCACACCACACCTCTGTCCTCATTTTCTCTTGAAACTTAGAGCTACATAGCTTTATCCAAGAAAGCTTCCTTCCTTACCACGGGAAGCTCCGTCGCCTACCCGCCCCACTGCTGGCAGTTCTCGTTCCTGTATGGTTCTGCCCACTTAATTGTGAACAACTTTGGGACTCAGTCTGTCTTCACCCAATTTCCATAGCAAGGTGCCTGATACAGTGCCGTGGAGGGGATAGGCGTGTGTGGTAGGGGGCCTTTCACTGATTTTATTATTTGTTTTCAAACAAACAGACCTGTGTGAGTGCCTCGGGCTTGACTTTGTGCATAGACCAGGAGCTTGAGCTGTCTGTTTCCTGGGAGGGCACCCTTAAACCTCTGGAAATCCTGCCTGCCCTCCCGGGTCCTAGGAAAGCCTCTCGGTCACCTTAGCACTTACTGATGATGATCAGTTTCCCTGTGATTTAGCCCTGCTACAATACATGGTAATACATGGTGACAAGCAAGTTAGTGACACACAATATGCTCGCCTGGCTCCTGAGCCATCTGTAGAGCCACCCACCAAGCGGACGTTCTGTCAATCTTGGGGGTCCTTTCCTTGTATTAATAGAGATATGCTGTGGCGCTAATAGTGCTCAGTAAAATGTTCTGAATGCTGAATGGACTTTTACCCTGGACAGTGTCTCTCTGGCTTCTGCCTAGCACCTGGATCTGGTAAGTACAAGAGAGAGTCATAAGCCTCATGTCCGCTGCTGGGGGAGGCGAGGTTTGTAAATTTCCTTTTTCCCTTTGGCTTGTGTGTGTGTGGATGGACGGATACGTGTTACGTGCAACAGGAAGAAAGTATTTTCACGCATTTCTTTCCTCTTCCCCTCTCTGTCTCACTGTCCCCACAGGTCAGCGTCGAAGTGCTGGTAGAGTATCCTTTTTTTGTGTTTGGACAGGGCTGGTCATCCTGCTGTCCGGAGAGGACCAGCCAGCTCTTTGATTTGCCGTGTTCCAAACTCTCGGTGGGGGACGTCTGCATCTCGCTGACCCTCAAGAACCCGAAGAACGGCTCTGTTAAAAAGGGCCAGCCCGTGGATCCCGCCAGCGTCCTGCTGAAGCACTCAAAGCCCGACAGCCTGGCCAGCGGCAGGCACAGGTACGCGGAGCAGGAGAATGGCATCAGTCAGGCAAGCGGCCAGCTGCTGTCCGAGAACGGCGAACTGAAGTTCCCAGAAAAAATAGGATTTCCCGCAGCACCCTTCCTCACCAAAATAGAACCCAGCAAGCCTGCGGCCACGAGGAAGAGAAGGTGGTCAGCCCCGGAGACCCGCAAACTGGAGAAGTCGGAAGACGAGCCACCCTTGACTCTTCCCAAGCCTTCTCTCATTCCTCAGGAGGTGAAGATCTGCATCGAAGGCCGCTCTAACGTGGGCAAGTAGGGGTCGAGCGGGCAAGGAGCTGTCCCTTACCATTTGTATCCAGATTACTGTACTGTAGGCTGAATAATACAGTATTTACATGTTATCCTCTTATTTTAGGTTTCTGTTCTAACCTTGTCATTAGAGTTACAGCAGGTGTGTCGCAGGAGACTGGTGCATATGCTTTGTCCGCGAGGTCTGGCGAGAAGCAGGCGAATGGAGGGTGGGGCAGGGCAGTGGCCATCTGGGCTCCAGGCATCCTGGGTGGCACAAATGTGGCTTCACCAGTGCCTGCCTTCTCTAGCAGCACCAGGGCCTCCGATGGGCACCACGTCCCTCTAGTTTCCAGGGAAAGTTCAGCGGGAAGGGGCCTGCAGGGTGCCGTGGTGGCCAGCCAGGGTCTCTCTTTCTCTGCCTCCGTCAGCCTCGGTCTCTCGCTTTGAGCATGGGATTGGGGTAAGGCAGTGTCCTCTTGGGGTCCCCCTGTGCAAAATCAGCAACAGGAACCCAGCTTCAGGGCATCGTAGGGAGACATCAGATGGCAAATGGAAAGCTAACTGTTTCAAAGAACATTTTTCTCTCCAACATATTTTACAATAAAAGCAACTTTTAATCCTATAGATATATATTTCCCCCTATGGGGCCTGACTGCACTGATTATATATATATATATATAAATTTTTTAAAAACAGAAAGAGCAACTGCCACATGTGGAATTTCATTTCTGCTTTACTAGTGCAGTGATATATATCTCCAGGGTGTTGCGGTGGGCAGGGAGGGAGGCCCCAGCTCGGCTCATGTCACCCCCATCAGGGGTGGGGATGGCGGGAACGCCCACGCTGTTTTCTGTGCAGTGTTAGGAAAATCAATCAGGTTATTACATTGACTTCACTCCCAAGAGGTGAATGCAAACTGCCCTTCAGCGAGAGCCGCGGAGCTCTCTTGAGTTGAGTTTGCAAAATTTTTTTGTCTTTTAACTCTAGTACTGTTTATAGTTCATGACTATGGACAACCCGGGTGCCACCTTTTTCAGATTCCAGTGTGACGTGAGGAATTAGATTCTAAAGATGAGCATAGATTACTACCTTTAAGCACTTACGATGCTATTCTCACACTTTACTACGACGCATCTGGGTCTGTCATTCAACAAGTACTGTATCTCACTTTAAACTCTTGGGGAAGGAAAAATGAAAAATAAGTTGCTTTCTGTTTTTTTTTTTTCAACACTGTAACTACATTTCAGCTTTGCAGAGTTGCTCACGAGCAAGATATTGAAAGTTTCAATGTGGTTTAAAGAGATGAATGTGAATTATGAAACCAGTATGTGACAATAAATGACCACCAAGTACTACCTGACAGGAGGCACTTGTCACTTTGATTTTGGAGAAAAGGCATATGCAGGGTTGGCAGAGAAACCGAGAGGAAAGGGATGGAGGAAAGAATACTCATTTTTGTCCAGTGTTTTTAAGATGAACTTTTAAAAGAACCTTGCAATTTGCACATCTTGAGTTTATAATTTGTGTGATATTCCTGCAGTTTTTTATCCAATAACATTGTGGGAAAGGCTTGGGGGACTGATCGAGCATAAATAAATGTAGCAAAATTACTTTCTAACCTGCCTAAACTCTAGGCCATTTTATAAGGTTATGTTCCTTTCAAGATTCATTTTGGTCTTCTTACTAGATCTGTCATGAAAAGCCAGGTCTTAGCAGGACAACTCTGAAAATTTTCTTCAGATTCATTGAGAGAGTTTTCCATAAAGACATTTATATGTAAGCAAGTTTTTTTTTCTTTTTGAAAAATAAAACAATTACTTTATTATTGTTATGTTACTTTCAGAATGACTTTTTTTTTCCTATTTGAAATCAAATCCAGATTTAATATTTGGTACAAACCCAGAAAGGGTATTTTATAAAGTTTAAACCTTTCATTCCCAGAGATCTGAAATATTATTTGTGGGTTTTGAGTACATCTTAAAGTGCTTTAACTACAAAAGTTTTAAAAGTAGGGAAAGTTTTACGGTATTCATACTTGGGTGGCTGCAACTAACCTGAACAAACAATTTTTTGTCTACCACTGAAAATATTACTGCATTTCACAGATTTAAAAAGCAATCCTAGTATCAATCCACATGTTACTTGACTATCCTAATATTCATTTACATTTTGCTCTCACCAGGAGTAAAGATTTTTCTGAACCATTTTCTGGGGTGTACCAAAAACATTTAGGTTTAGAACTGTTAGGCTCCTTCTTTGACTTCTCTCTAATTTCATTACCCTCTCAGCAGGCTAGCAGAGCTGGGTGGGCCCATTCTTGCGGTCACACTGCTTATTTTAGTGCTATCTTTTTTAAATGTTTCTGTTTAGAGAACTTGCTTAATCTTCCATATATTCTGCTCAGGGCACTTGCAATTATTAGATTTATTTTTTCTTTTTGTTTTTAACCTTTGATGGTAAGAGGAGTACGGGGCTGCCACATAGATTTTTTTCTCATTCATACCACTATTTACAGCCACTTGTGTGGGCTCAGAAAAACACACGCCACCTTCTGGCTTACTTTGAGTAGTGAACTGACTGCATCCACAAAACCAACACTAACACGGGAAAACACATGGTTTGGAGCAATAGGAACATCATCATTTTCATGGTTCTATTTCAGGTATAGGAATTATAAAATCATGGGTTCTTTGCAAACATTTCTCACATTTCATTCTTTTGCTTTGTTAGCATGTGCAATACTTTCTGTGCCAATAGTCTGACCAGTGTGCTATAGAGTTAAAGCTCATTCCCTTTTGGCTTTTGTCCTTGTTCAGTTGGTTGAACTTCCCAGTTCTGGCTGGGGAAGGGCTGGAGCCCTCCTGCCTGCCTGTCCTCTGTCATGATGCTGTGCTCCAGGGCAGGGAGCCTGCAGGAGCCCTGGTATCTGTCACCATGTTGCAGAAAGAGCCAGCAAAGAAGACGTAAGGGAACAGCCAGTTCCCCATCACCCCGCAAAGTAGTAAATGTGGAGTGTGGAGAGGAAGGAGGCTCGATTTTTAACATACACTTGGGAGAAATGTAGGCTGGAACCAACTCATTTTCCACAGTCTTTGCCCCAAGTGGGCAGCCCCTCCTCAGGTGAGGTCTGTGTCCCAGACTTGGGACGTGGGCACCAGGTATGACCTCGTGTGCGTGTGCATGTGCATGCATTCTGCACATGCCAGCCAGGGGCCATGGAGGGGGATCATTCTGGCAACCATGGTCACCACTCCCTTGTGGCAGCTTTCAACTGCAAACAGGAAAAATCTGCAGAGGGCAGGAATCTTCTGCTGTTGGACACTGGTGAGCCCAGGGCTCCCGAAGCAGCCTGTCATCGCGTCTGTGTAGCAAATCTAATAGGACAGGGGTAGAAATTCTTCAGTGCTGTTCAGCCTACCAGGATCAGCCACGTGCCTCCGTACTGTGTCCTCTTTGCAATATTAACTGACAGCTGTCTTTTCATTCTCCTTTCTTTACTGTGTTCCATTTTTTTAACTACTAACAGGCCTTTTGCGTTTACAACAAAACACAATCACCATGAAATTAGTCAGGGCGAAAAGAAAAAAAACCAACAAATAAGAACCTCTCTTTATAGGGATTTCTAAATATATAAAATGTCTGTTCCTTAGAATGTTTAACTTGAGAGAATTATTTCAGTTTGTCTGGGCCACATTAGGGGCTGAGGTGGGGGAGGGAGGGACACAGACAGATGCCACTTACCTCAAATCTTCAAAGTGGAAATCCAAATTGGATGTTCATTTGGACTTTCAGGATAATTTTCTATGTTGGTAGAATTTTGGTTTGCCCCAGCTCTCCCAGTCTGGTTCGGGATGATCTGATCTTGGGGGTGGTAGCGATCCCATTTCTAGCTCAGAATAGTGACCCTGTGTGTTTTCTGTTAGGTGAGTGTGTTGGGCTCTCCCCTCCCCCACCAGGCAGTGGCAGCATCCCTCCTCTCCCCTACAAAGGAACTCTGCGGAACCTTACACCTCTTACTCAGGGACGGGGCTGGTGTGTGTGTGTGGAACACTGAGGTGTCCAGCAGCAGCACTTTGACTGCTCTGGGGTAGGGTTGTACAATTTCAAGGAATGTTTGGATTTCCTGCATCTTGTGGATTACTCTTTAGATACTGCATAGATTGCAATATAATGCTGCATGTTCAAATGAACAGTAGCTCCTAGTAATCGTAAAAATCCACTCTTTGCACATAGTTTTGATCTTTACTGAAATCTGTTGCCAAAATTTATTTTTGTTGTTGTAGCTTTGGATTTTGTTTTTTAAAGGAAACAATTGACAATACTTTTTAACATCCATGACTACTAAGGAAACCTATTGCTTTCATAAAGTGAAAACAATCAGATGCTTTCGAAGACACTAATACCCTGCTATTTCAGACATGGGTGAGGAAGCCGCGTTCCTGGGACAGAAAGCCAGGCTCCCTGAGCTGTGCTGGTTGTCATGGCTACTGTTTCCTGAACCACAGACAGCTCCACAGACTGGCCTGTTCTCTCCCGAAACCCTTGGCGCTTCCAATGTCCTAGTCACCCTCGAAATTCCAGGTGAAGACGGCCAGCAGTCTCAGTGGCCTGGATCGTTTCTTCAGTGGTGAAATGAATGACAAGAGAATTACACTTTTTTGTTGTTGTTGTTGCTGTTGCTTTTAAAGTGGAGTGGAGGTCTTTGCTTCCACATTTGTGTTTTTTACCCAGAATTTCTGAAATAGAGAATTTAAGAACACATCAAGTAATAAATATACAGAGAATATACTTTTTTATAAAGCACATGCATATGCTATATTGTGTTGGATTGGTTTCTACTCTTTTCCACGGACAGTGTTGTGTGTGTTGATAGGGAAACTCCAAATGACTTGTACACCTCTACTCTGGAGCTGAGATTTTTCTTTTTCTTTTTTTTTTTAACATAGATGACCTCGCTTCAAATGTTACCTTACTGGTAGAACCTTTTCTTGTAGCATTATCCCTTGTGGGAATTTTTTTTTTAATATTCACCTAATTTGAAAGCTGAAGAGAAAAATTTGAAGTGCTCACTTTGAGGAGTACAGGTAATGTTTTTAAAGAATTGCACAAAAGAAAAATGAATGTTGAGATAATTCTGTTTGAAAGATATGGATTTGTTGAAATGAGTCTCATACTTTGTAAAATCAAATAAGCAGAGGTTAAAAGTTACATGTTTTTTTTTTATATCTAGAAATTGTCACATCTATAAATGATCAGATTTATATGGTTATGGCCCAGAAGAATTGCTACATAAAAGGCTCTTAAACTATACCTATCCTTCCTGTTAAGTTTTTGTTACACATCACCCTCGCTGGAGGGAGGGGAACCCTGTATTCTGCTATTTGAGAATACTGCTCATTCCTAGGCTAAAAATACTTCTTGGAGCTCCCTTCTTAATCTAAACTCCTAAGCCATTGCAACTTCTTTTTCTTCAGAGATGTTTGATATGTTTAGCACTTCCTGTTCTCTAAATCCAAAGAATATAACCTGAACATGAAGTGATTTTAAAAGGGATCCTACCTACCAATCAAACAAGACTTGTGGAGACAAAAAACAGTTTAGCCTTCCTCCCTCCACACACACCTCGTTTAAATGGGGGGCGGCATGATTTTCAATTAAATTCTTCATTTTACTTTTTGATTTTCCTTTTAATAGAGGTCAGAAATAAATGTGGAGCAATTTCTCTGACGCATCATATTCCTGTCCAAACTTGCAAGTTGGGCAGTGGCACCTAGACAGCTGTGGGGAACCCGCAGTTCTTAAATTCAGAATTTCCTCCCCTCCCTTGTCGCCAGTGCAATTGTTCCAGTGGTTAACATTCATCTGTACAAGGGTGGGTGGGTGGGAAGGATGGCTTCAGTTTTTCAGGTCCCCAATTAATGACCTGCATACAAATGGTCTGACTATTAAAATTAAGTGCATTTGGCCAATAGTATCTGTACAATAACAGTCTTAAGAATTCCCATGACTTTTCTTATCAGAAAGGAATCACGTCTTCCACTGCAGATAAATTGGAGGCTTCACCCACCCATGTTTTTCTTTGCCTTTAGTTTGTCTGTCCATTCGCTGTCTGGATGGCCAATGAGCCTGTCTTTTCTGTGGCCAATCTGAAGGCCTTCGTGGGAAGCGTTGTTTACAGTAATCCTTACCAAGATAACATACTGTCCTCCAGAATACCAAGTTGTGGTGAACCTGGCTAAGAGCCGTCGTTTTGAGATCTGTTTCCAAGAAGGTCAGTGGATAGGTTTTCTGTACCACCTCGTATTTAAGTTATTCTCTGGTCCAGGAGTGGGGTGAAGTCTTTAGTTGGTGAATGCTAACTTGAGACTTGTGCATCCGGGTCCCGTGACTACTGCCCCCGTGGCCAGGTTTCTGCCTCTTCAGCCTGCACTGCTCATCAGCAAACCCAGTTAGCATCCAACGGAAAGGAGGTTCCAACAGCATCCTGTCAGTATTTGGGGTCGCCTTCAGATAAGACAGAGTCCTCATTTCTAGCCAGTGGGGTCTGGGCTCCAGAGCCGTCTCAATATTTGTCCCAACAGATGATCAACATCAGAAAATTCCAAGACTCCCAATCGAATGCCTCCCACAGGCCAAGGGAAAATAGACACCAAACTTGGGTTGAGGGCACTACCAGACTGGCCTAGCCAGTATGGAGAACTAGGGAAGGAATGATGTTTTGCACCTTATTGAAAAGAAAAATTTAAGTGCATACATAGTTAAGAGCTTTTATTGTGACAGGAGAACTTTTTTCCATATGCGTGCATACTCTCTGTAATTCCAGTGTAAAATATTGTACTTGCACTAGCTTTTTTAAAACAAATATTAAAAAAATGGAAGAATTCATATTCTATTTTCTAATCGTGGTGTGTCTATTTGTAGGATACACTCGAGTCTGTTTATTGAATTTTATGGTCCCTTTCTTTGATGGTGCTTGCAGGTTTTCTAGGTAGAAATTATTTCATTATTATAATAAAACAATGTTTGATTCAAAATTTGAACAAAATTGTTTTAAATAAATTGTCTGTATACCAGTACAAGTTTATTGTTTCAGTATACTCGTACTAATAAAATAACAGTGCCAATTGCAAATGTGTGGCTTTGCCTTTTATTGGATCCTGAAAGAAAAGGCGGAGAAATGGTGGTGGCAGCGCCTCCTTACCTGTGCTGGGACCCCATGAATCCTCCTTGAGGATGTCACTGGGGAGTGACATCACTCATGTGCTGTCCTACTGATTTCTGTTGCATGGGGCTGTGCTAGAAAGTTCTATGCTAAAAGGTCAGTGCCCACATGTCTGTATCCAATGTCTTGTTCTACTCAGGCTTGTCTCCTGTCTGGATACTCATGTTTAGAAATGGTGTTGCTTTTTAAACATGTGGCAGTTCCACAGGCCCCTGTGATAGAATTAGTGTGTTGCCTAGTCACGCTGTAAACTGAGCTGGAGGGAGAGGAGGAGGAGGGGGAGGAAGGCAGGCTCGCTGGGTCAGGAGCGTCCCGTGTTTGTATCCAGAGCACTGTGCCACAGGTTTGCATGGGACTTAGTCATGGAAACAGGAGGCCTGACAGTTGCCCTTAAAGTCACTCTTCAAGGCCTCAGGCCACCAACCCCATGACCTGGGTGCCATGCTTCTTGCTTCCAGTGTTTTGAGGCCAGTTGTGTTGGTCACAGCACACAGCTAGGGATGCCCCTGGCCAATGCAGGCCCATGAGGTGCCCCTGCTGAGACTCTGGACTTCCCGGGTGGTTGTCATTATGAATAGAAGATTAACACAGTTGAAATCTAACTTTGGGGTTCCAGTCAGAGTCCTCACATGGCCCCAGCAGGAATGGGAACTCTCCCTTCCACCGTTGTCTTGAGTTTTGGGACATGTAACCAGACATGCTGCCACAGTTGCACTAGGACATGAATGGATGGGCATTGAACCAGTGGTTACCAGATGAGCCTCAGACCAAACTAGGACTGTCCCATGTGGTCCTCCAGAGCAGCAGGGCTACTATGGCCTGTGCATTGGGCAAGCCTACTAGCTGTCCCATCTGCTTTCCCTGCCTGGCTTCTATTACATATTAACGGACTGGCTGAGTTTGGAGTCTAATGGTGTGACACCACCAGGAATTAGTGACAAGAGGCAAGGACTAGCTCTGTGATGCAGTGGGGCAGGCTTCAAAAGTGTTGCCCCATGAAGGTGAATGGTACCAAGGTCACTGTCCACCCCTTCCGGCACAAAGAGCCCAGTGGGTAGATGTGGGCTACATGCTTGTACTCTGCCCACATCTCCACCAAGTCCACACCTACTGCCAGGAGATGGACTTGGAAGGACAAAGGGGAATGAGTCCAATTCTTAGAAAACCACTCATGTGTTTTTGGCTTTGCAATAACCATCTTTACTTCCTTAGAAAGTGGACCGCAAGGGACCTGCCTTTGATTGTGCAAACAAGGAGCTAATCTGCAAAATCTCTTTTCCCAGTGTCATCCTCCCTAGCCACGCGGTGCAGTACAGAAGCCAGAATCAGAGAAAAAGGGGACTCAGGTGATGCCTGGCTACAACACCAGGCGCCTGGAGTTGGACTTGGTCCTGAAAGGCATTCCCTTACTACTGCAGGTCGTTTTTAAGGATTTAAGATTTACTTTTTTTCATGTCTCTTATTTGCCAAACATTTCAGGACGCTCTTGGTCAGGAGAGGCTGACCCTGCACCCAGGCAGGCAGAGCCGCGGCCCCTAGGGAGGACCTCTTTCCACCTTCTCACCACACTCTGCTCTCTCAAGTGCAGCCTTTCATGTTTCTATAGCCAAGAGCACTTCTCTAAGAATGGGGGCAACGGCTTAGATTACTGCTAAAAACTGTTGGACCTTTAAATGTTTTCCTTAAAAGACAAAACGGGCTCTGCTTCCCTGGTGTGATGCTGTGGCTGAGCCCTCTGGTCCCTCGGGATGTCAAGCAATGGATACCTCCCTCAGTGGCACCACCTGTCCCTTTCTCTAGGTGCCTGCTTGCCTTTCAGAGAAAAATATGACCCTGCCTCCTCATTCACCTCTGTTAATAAGAAAAGCAAAATACTCTGGCATGCATGAATTTTCTACTCCTACCTAAGCAATGGCTAGTGCTAAGAGAACCGTGGTGCATCCTTCCTCCAAGACAAAGTCACCATCACCAGCCAGCTAGCTGACCACTGTCCAGAGGAGCCAAATATGAATCCCAGCTGGGGAAAGGTGGAAACTCACTTTTTAAACAGATGCCTTTTATGGGGCCACTGAGCAAAGCCGCTATTTCTCAGCGGGACTCTACCTGCTCAGTCTTCACAGGTCTTTGAACAGCACTCCTTGTGAAATCTGAATATAACTTAGAACGTCTTTGACAGGCTGACAAGCTGGGACTGAAGGGAGGGAAAAGGAAAGGGAAAAAACAAAAGCCCAGGACAGAGCCAGCTTGCTAGAAGTGGCTTCCTGCTCTTTTCCAGCAACCAACAGCTGCAGGGGAGGGGACGCCAGCTAACGACTCAGCCGGACCCTTCCCAAGGCACCTCAAACACTGGCAGCCGGGTGCCACTTACCTGGCCGGGAAGGCGGCAGCACTGTCTCTAATGATCACATGCAACTTGGCTTCTGCAAATGCAAACTCCAGTACTCCATGGAATCTCAAGATAATAGCATTATATTAAAGGAAAACCATTTTCTTTAAAAAAGAAAAAAAAAAAAAAGGTGCAAGTGAACAATGAGGCTATGAGTCCTGGGCCACTGGCCCAATTAGGGCCCTGTATCGAGGCCCCAAGAAGGCACTAGGGAGCCCCCAAAGCCTCCAGGCAGCAGGATGGGGAGAAAGGACGCAGCATTGCAGCACTTGGGAGCAGCTGGCAGCTCTGGCACGATGCACTGGAGGGACATGGGAAAAGCGAGTGTGCGAGACAGCGGCTTTGGTCCCAGCGTCCTCCCAAAGTTAACTAAACACAGTGTTGTGCTGCTGGGTCACCCGGATGAACGTGGCTCTCCTGCTGAGCTCCTTGAGCTTGGCGGCCCCCACATAGGTGCAGGTAGATCTCAGTCCACCGAGAATATCCAGAATCGTGTGTTCCACATCCCCTTTGTAAGGCACTTCCACTGTCTTCCCCTCAGAGGCTCTGGAAGAAAAGGGCGCAACTTTTTATCCAGCTGCTTTCTCCATGAGAACTAGAATGATTTCCAGCTGTAGATTAGCAGCCCCAGGAACTCAGCCAGATATACCACTCCCCCATCCCCACTGTGCGCCAGTCTGACACTGTCCCCACCAGGTGTGCCCCATCCTGTCCCTAACTGCCTTTCTATGTACACCAATCTGCAAACAAGCAACTACCCACAGGGGAAACAGACCTGGAGGTTCCTGCTTGCAACAGGCTCCCCCTGCGATGCCTGCCCTTCGGCACCAGTGATGGAACAAGCCCAGTGCTTTGCCTCCCTGAGTGCCAGCTCTATCAGGGACCTTACATCTTTAAATGGGAGGACGAGGAGAAAAAACAGAGCATGTTCCCACCCTAGGTTACTTGAGCCCCCCCCCCCCACATGCACACTAAGGGCCTGCCTCCCCAAGACACCCTTTGTTGCTCCTCCCCACCCCCAGCTGTCAGGTCACCTCTCCTGCTCTCCCAGGTCAGCACAGCTGTTGCCCTGGGCATGGAGGGGACCCAGCAAGGTGGAGCCAGAGCAGAAGCAAGAGCTGTCTTAGGACAGAGCCCACAGGGCTTCGGACAGCACCCCTCACATCTTCAGAACAGTCCTAAAGACTCAGGTATACAGCATGGCCTCCAAGCCACCTAACTGTCCCCTCTGGGCTTTGTCCCTGTCTTCACAAGACCTCCGAGTTGCACTGCCTCGTTCCACATATTGGGCCCTCATACTGTAGCATCATAAGTTTTTGCAGAGGTGTACAAGGGGGACATCTGACATCTATGCTAAGCCCTCATCTAAGGACTGGGAAAATCCTAAGTAAACAAATTCTAGAACTTTCTGCGGCTACCCTAAAAGTGGAAAAACTGAAGCTCTTCATTAGCAACCTCATTACCTGGCATTTCAAAGGGCTCTTCACTTTTGTTCACCAAACACACGACACTCCCTTTGGGTGAAATCCAGTGACTTAAACTATCATCTGGATAAAGGGCCAGCCAAGTGACCAGTGGAAACGATCGTCACCACCATACCTAGATGGCTCAGGTCCTGTGCCTATAATGACTGCCATCTCACTGTCCTTGGTTTCCATGGCCTTCCCAGGGCATGCTGGGAATTCTCCAGATTCCCACTGTTGCCTCTTTGCTGACTGGTGACGTCACCTCTTCCAAGTCTGCTGAAGGCTGTTCATACGTGAGTGAAGGCACTTTGACCTGCCTCCCAGGACCGAGTGAGAAGGAATGATGATTGGGAAGGAACCAGCAAAGCGTTAACAATGACGCCGTTAAATACAGCGTCCAAGTAGGGAACTGTTCTCACCACCAGATCAGGGGCGCAAGATCGCAAACTGCCAAAGAGAAAAATAGGCAGAACAGATACAGATGCTAAGACCCAGGCTACTTGTGGGTTAAGGTTCTGATTCCTTCAGCAAAGTGCCTGAATCTATTCCAGAGCCATTCTCCTTGTGTGTGGCTCCTTCCTGCTAAAATCCCAGAAGACAGACTTTCTTTCAATATTTAGGCATCTGGGTGATAGCCTGGTCCTGCCTTCCCTACTCACAATGTTTCTGAGGACCCAAAACTACAGCTGCGAGGCACAAAAATGCACTCCAAGTTAAAGCATGTAGCAGGGGCTCAGCCACACTGCAGTCCAGCACAAAATAGACACTGCACGAGCCACTGGACAGTGACAGCAGTTGATGGCCCAACTTCTTGGACAAAGGTCAAGGTAGCACTGAGACAGTTAGCATCCCCATCATTACCATGGGGACAGAGGGCCTCAGAGGCTCCCTAGGAGTGCACTTCCTATTTCTGATGGGTTCCCAGCTGCCTTCCCTTCAAGGATGCCAGATTTACTGACTTTCCCAGCAAAGAGAAGAGGACTGGGGAGAATAAAGTCAGGAATCAGAACGATACCTCACAGGGCTCCGGGAGCAGAGTTCACTCTGCCCCCTCCTG